CATATCCTGCCTCCATTTTACTGCAAAAGCTGTTGTGGCTCTACCAGTTGCTCCTGGTCTAGAAGCCTTCTCTGGAGTCGGTTGAATTAGTTTTGATTGAACGTCTCCAGATTTTCCCATTTGGAAATGGGGGTAGAGTGAGCACATACAGTGCAGGAAGCAGGAGGACTAAAGCCAGCTGATGAGTGGATTTGTATTGCACTGACTACGTAAGTGTGCTGAAATGGGCCATGGGCCATGAGGGAGCTTTGAGAATGCCTGTCTAAGAAATGATCTTCCCCTACCTTGCTGGTGATCCCAGCATGCTGTGGTGGAGCCCCTCCTGATGCATATTGGGCTGTGAGGGAAAGAGGTTGCTTACACCAGCGTGGCAGCTGATAATTTAGAAAGGAGAATGAGTGAGACTGATGAAACTGAGCATTGGTTTGTGCTCCAGCCGCCTTCTGCTTCCCATCCTCTTTCTGCTCCCTTGCCATTCTGCCTGCTCTGTACAGACAACCAATAAAGACTTCTTATATCCTGATCTGGAAGGGACCCATAAAGATCACTGAGTCCAGCTCCTTGTCCCCTCTTTTCTCTTATGGAGTCACTCTCCTTTTGGGAGCTGAGCTAACTGGGCAAGGTGGAGGGCCAAGCACGCTCTTTGCTCCTCCATAGCCCCCATGTCTCAGTAGCCACTGGTCTTCCCTGTGCTGCTGCCTCTGCACAAAGATGCCCTTTTTTTTGATTGCTCTCAGGCATGATCAGTCTGGCAAGGCCTCCTTGCACTTTACAGCCTTCCCTAAATGTCCTGCTCTCGATGCATGCAAAGGAATGCATGCAGGGAGCCAGGCAGCATGGAAGTAGGATGGACCATGCAGGTAGCAGCTGGAAGATCCCAGTATCAGCCACGCTCTGGGCTGATGGGCTGGAAGAGGGTGAGCAGCGTCTGCCCAGTTGGAGGTTCCCAGGCTGCCTGCCTGCCTGCATGGTGGTGTTGGACAACACATTTCTCCTGTCATGGCCCTCATGGCCTGGGAACTGAATATATAGAATCCTAGAATCATAGACTCATACAATGGCTTGGGTTGGAAGGGCCCACAGTGATCATCTAGTTCCACTGGGTTGTCACCTACTAGGTTATGTTGCCTAGAAGTCCGTCCAGTATGGCCCTGAATATTTCCAGGAATGGGACATCCACAACTTCTCTGGGCAGTGTATTCCAGTGCCTCACTGCTCTCATTATAAAGAATTTCTTCATAACATCTAACTTTTATCTCCCCTCTTTTTTTTTAAAAGTATTCCCCCTTGTCCTATCACGATCATATAAAATTTTGATCTCGATCTTGTTTATAAGCTCCACTTATATACTGAATGTCTGCAAGGATCTCTCATCTACGCCTAGACTGAACAAGGTCCTGCTCCCTCTGCCTTGTCTCATGATAGCAGCGCTCCAGCCCTCTGATCATCCTTGTTACTCTGCTGTGGACTTGCTTCAACAACTCAAATTCTTTTTTGTAACAGTGGCCCCAGACCTGGATGCAGTACTCTAGGTGCTACCTCAGGAGGGCAGAGCAGAGGGGGACAATTCCGTTCTCTCCCTGTTGCCACCTCCCTTTTGATGCAGTCCAGAATGTAGCCAGCATTCTGGAGCATGCTGCTGGCTCCTGCCAGAACCGTGAGGTCTTTTTCCACAGGGCTCAGTGAAAACTCAGTGAGTTCTTCTCCCAGTTTGTACACGTATCTGGGATTGCCCAGTTAGTGTTTAGGTTTAGACCAGAAGAATTTCTGGGGAGCAGCTCAGCATGAGGCAGCAGTGTGCCCAAGCAGCCAGGGGGACAAGCCACATTATCGAGTGCATTGAACACAGCACATTCAGCAGGTCCAAAGAAGCAACACTACTGTTATTTTTAGAGTTGGTGCAGCCTCCTCTTAGGCACTGTGCGTAGTTCTGGGCTTCAGTCTGAGGACATCTGAGTTGTCAAGTCTGGGAAGTGACCTCATAGTTAGGTGGTATTTCCCCCTAGTTGTTTGACTGGTGTTTACTTGTTGAAGGAGCCAGCTACTGTTTTGTGGGGCCTTTCTGCAGACTCTCCCTAGTTTTACCATGCACTTGAGGAACCAGAAGTCCTGAGTGTCTCTCCAGGAGCCATGTTTGCAGGCAGTGTCTTTGGGAAGCCTGTGGCTGAAGTCTTAGAGATGGGAGCAGCATTTCTTAAACGCCCTCTGTTAGAAAGGAGCATTTTGGGATGCAAATCTCGTGCTGGTGACAGGGGTTGTTCTGTTGTGTGCCATTGCCTGGATGCACAAGGGAAACAAAGCAGCAAAAGGCAGCAGCAATGACACTAGTGGGAGGTTCCCTCTCAAAAAAGGAAGGCTTATTCATCACAAGCAATATGTTCATGTGGCTGTTTCCTTCCTGTGGTTGCAATTCTTGCAACCACAGATGCCAGTGCTCAGAGGCAGCAAGTAGGACTGAGGTCTGATCTGTGCCCAGGTGTGGATCCTGGCATGGCCCTGCAGTTTCTGGCTTTGACCTTTCTCCTGGTCCTTTTTCCTCTGCTGGCAGCACAGGGCCAGGAAGAACCTGATTCCCTGGTCCAAGGAGCACCCCAAGAAACAGGTAAGAATTTGACACTACTCTATTCTACTCTACTACTCTACTCACAAGGGAACATATTTCTGTTCTTCCTCTTGTATTTGCTGTGCTTCTTTACCAGGTGCAGCATGGCATCACAGAGGGTGGAGGTGATGTCCATGCCAGGGATGTTCTGGGGTGAATTTGGGGATCGAGAGTGTGAGGCTCCACGTGCTGGGAAAGCCTCAGTGAGTGCTGGGATGTAACACACTTCCATGTACGGGGCAGTGTCCCTGGGAGCAGGAGGTGGGCAGTTCTCATAATGTTGCATTAATGTGGTTGTTCAGCCACATGTCCCTTCTTCGTGGCTGTTGAGCAGATGGTACAGAACTTCTGGGACAACTCTGCCCCTTTGGGACAAGGGGCTCCCTATTCTGAGCAGTTTAAAGACTCCTCACCCCTATAGGACTGGTAGTGCCATGCTCAGTAAGGTAATGGGCAGTCCTAGCTGGGATCAGGTCCAAACCAGCAGGCAGAGGAGGACTGAGCAGGCATGACTGTCCTGGCCAACTCATGGCAGACAGATTTGTCACCTTCTTGTTTCCTCGAGTCTCTGAAGGGACCGTTTCTGAGTGCTGACACTATTCTATTGCTCTCTGTGCCATCTTGTTGTTTCATGCCCCAACTAAACCCATTTCCACCTCTGCCAGAAACGTGCCAAAGGCCCCAGTGGGACCCAGGACTCCATCTGGAACCAAATCTGCAGGAGTATAAGAAAAATGAAGAAGTGATGCTGAGCTGCCCTGAGGGTTTACAGCCCTCCTACACCCAAGTCAGATGTTCAAGAGAAGTGCAGATCATCAGTAATGGGAAACCTGTATACGGGGAAGTTTGGCTGGGAAGAGCCAGCAGTGGTTCCTGGATCCGCATTCGGTCCAGAGTGGAGTGCGTGGGTAAGGAAGGCTTCAGGCTGTGTGAAGGGGAGCCAGGAGGTGCAGCTGCAGGATCCTGGAGTCTCTGCAGCTACTGCTCCTCTTGAGACATCCTGGGTTCAGAAAGAAGAAGCATAGGGCCCTTATTCCCCGCAAGAACTTCCTGGGGCTGTGGTGCAGAAAGGCACTTTTGCATTGTGAACCAGAGCTCATTACCTCACCATGGTGAAAAACTGAGGAAACAGAAACTCTCTACAGAGGACTGTGAAGAGCAGGATGGGTCATAAAGC